TTCAAAAGCATTGGAGACCTGGACTCCCAGCCCGTTCTCTTCATCCCAGACGTCCACTTTGGAAACCTGCAGAGAGCGGGGCAGGTGAGGGACCACGCTCTTTCCAATACACACACACACACACACATTTGTTTTGACATTTTAGTGAAGACATAGAATTGACATAATGTTGTTTTTTTGTTTTTTTTAAATTTTGTGTGCAGGTGTTTGCTTTCAACACTGAAGAAGTTGATCGAAATGGGTGAGTCCCACAGTGGCTTTGTGTTAGTGCACACTGCTCCACACGCTTAGACCTTGAGTTTATTGTTGAGGGTCTCTCCATGGTGAGAAGATTACAGAAGGTTGGACAAAGGCTAATTTTGTTTTTATCCTTGTTTCTACCTTAGAAGAAACAAACTGTTACATGTCAGGGAACCAAGAGCATTCCCATCAAATGACACGTGTTTCTGCATGTGTGTTCATCAGAGGTGTTTTAATGAAGAGGGTTTCATGTGTTGGCCAGGAAGACCTCTGTCCACCTGCACTAAAGAAGTCCAGAGTGGAACCAGAAAGAAAAGGTAACTTATTTCTCATTAAGAGTTCTTGTCCTTGTTGGTGTCGTGGTTTGACCTAATATTGTCTTCCTATACCTTGACTTTTCCAGTTCTACTATATGTGAGGAAGGAGTGTGATGAAGTGTTTGATGCTCTGATGCTGCGCAGCCCAACCCTCAAAGCTCTGATGGAGGCTGTGAGTACTGAGAATACATTGCTTACAAAACAGAAGTCATTACTTCTACAAACCAATAGTTCACTGCCAAACGGTTTGTAGATGGGTCAAAGCTAATGTGACCTGTTGGTTTGCAAAGCCCTGTTTTTGAAGCATCATCTGGAGCATCTTGGTTGTTACCTTGTTAGCTTCTTCAAACCAGACGTCACAAAATGAGCAGTGGATCCAACAGTCGCAAGATAGACCTGTGCTTTATCGTCCTTTTTGTTCTTCGCTTTAAGATGTGAAACTAGGGATTGAGACCATAAACTCATCAGGAAAGTGTTTTCTGAGACTGAAGATGTGAGAAGTAGTTATTTCTGATCCTTCTTACATCTTACACTTTTCTGAAACCGGAATAGCCGCCCCCTACTGGCCGTTAGAAAGAATTGAATTCATGCATGTATAGATGGGGAGAGAGAGAGATTCAGCTTTGTTAACATCTACTTTGTCTTCACAGATCTCTGAGAAATATGCGGTGCCTGTTGAAAAGATAGCCAAGGTTTACCAAAAAAGCAAAAAAGGGTGAGTCCAACTCAATAAAAACTGTTTCTTCTGCTTTTCACTTGCTTCCATGTCTGTTTGCTTGTTGGCTTAAGGTAGCTTTACATGCCAACCAGTGTCAGTAACCCTTGCTAATGAGGACAAGAAGAGATGAATAAATATGCCCGTCTTACATTTAGAAGGCATATTTTAGCATAAACCAAACTTCAGGACAAGACTTTGAAATTAAATGAAGTTGTAGGGAAGCCGTGTGAAGAACAGCCGAGGGATCATGTATGTAGAAATCAATTTGCAATAGAGACATGAGCTGACCAGATCAGTTATTACCGTTAAATGTGTTTACTGTCTTTCCCAGGCTCCTGGTGAACATGGATGACAACATCATCCAGCAATACTCCAATGAGGACACCTTCATCCTGGCTATCGAGAGCTCAGCAGACTCCTGGCGTGTGACTCTGTCGGAGATCTGATGGCTACTAACCCCTGCACTGTCATACTCATTATGCTCCAGACGGAGGTTGATCAGTGCGTGGTGACTCTTTATCCATTTCATGTGCACAGACTCATGAACGCTGTTATCAGTGTCGTATGCTGGAGCCAAACTGTTCTTTGAAGTCACACGGGAGTCTCTGCAGGCTTTCCTGTCCTGCATGGATCATTTTGAACATTGGCCCTTGGCTCTGGGGACACAGGCTCAGCAAACGTTGAAAACTTGTGGATTTGTTTTTAGGTTAGGAAAAATCTTTTGATCTTTCCTAGCAACCTTACCAGCTGGCAGGAATGCAGTTGTGAACCCTTTTTGCCCAGCTGTCACTAAAAACAGGATTCATCCCGGTCCGCACAAAGACAGCAGCAGCTCTCTGTGGTGTCAGGAAGAAGACGTCATAACAGATTAACAGCACAGAGCACTGCTCCGGGCTTCTCCTGCGCCTTCTGTTATCCTCCCTGTACTTCCTCCTGTGATCGAAACTTTGAAATGACGTGACGGGCATTTGAAAAGCCTTTGCAACACCTTTGAGTCGCGTGGCACTGCTCTTTGCTCGCTACCTTCCTAATCAATTTTAGACATGTCTCGACTTTAATCTGAAGTGATGGTACTTTAACTCTTATTAGCATCCATTATGTTATTATTTTTTGATTGGTTATATTTTTACTGCATGCTAAATGTTTCCTGTTGGTGCCAGTGAAAAAATAACAGTTATTTATCCCAGATTGTAACTACATGCCACTGTCCTGGGATCTATAATTAGATTGAGGCACCGTTATAGAACAGGACTTCTGGTCTAAATTGCTCTTGTTAAATTGTTCTGCTTCCTCTGTGTGTGTGTGTGTGTGTGTGTGTTAATTGCTTTTCCTCTCACTAAAGAGACTGCAGTCATTAGTATTTATGACATTCGTTAGGGACTCGCAGGGCCCAGCCGCTCTATCCGTTTACTCCTTTGAGGCTGCAGCAGCCGATCAGAGCACAGCAGCGGAGCGATCCTGTTCCAGCTCGGTGCGTCTACCTGTATCCTTCATATACTTCACATGCAGTGAAGTACAATTTTTACGATGTGCAAATAAAAAAATAGTTTTCTATAAAGTCACTTCTTTCTGCTTCTGCCAAAATCTACAGCGTGCGTTTTTCCAGCTCAACAGTGGCTACAACTGTCACCAGAAGTGTGATGTTTTCAGGTTTCCCTGTCTCATTTATGTAAATATAACATTTAGGAACTCCACCGATAAAATAGACATCCGAGATGTGTTTAAAAACTGTTACCAAATCAGTTTTACACCCATCCCAAGTGTCACAGTATGAAGGCAAAATCACACATGCTGTGAGCTGCCCTCTGATTGGCTACATCATAGTTCGGATGGCAAAACTGCATGAATTTAGTATCTTAACAGAAATGAGCACTGGTGTTCTGCATTTTTGAATCAGTTTTCTGATAATTCTCTGGGGAAAACTTTAAGAAGGCCATTGAGTAAACATTCGTAAGCGAACTTCTCATGTGGGATAGGTCAGAGCAAGTTGTACCGGTGTCCTTTAAACTGCGTTTTAATACCAGACTCATCTTCTAGCTGTTATTCATTTTATGTCAAAACAGCTTTCTAATAGGCATATTTTAACACTCTCACATGGCGCTGTGAAATGGAGAAATGACGCCTCTATGTAATGTTCTGTATTACAGTTTGGACAGATCGCACTGATTGATCAACTTTAGGTCCTGAACATGGTTTTCAAAGTCTTTGGAATTTGAACATGTAGAAGGGCCTGATCACAATTGATGTTGTTGCTCCGTTGCCTGTTCACACTGTAATGAAGATGACGTGTCCAATAGAGGTGAATTATCTCACCTTTATCTTATCTGCTTACCATCATGGTAATTTAAGGGTTTGTAATTTGTGAAATTTTCATAGGAAATCAAACAGTTGACTTCCATCCACGGCTTAGCCTTGAGATAAACACTCCCAAATTAGAAACTGAGGGGAAATGGAATAACTTAAGATGTTAATTGATTTAAATATTTGCAATTACAGGAGTGGAAATGTAAGTCAGTATCTAATATGTACACCTGTGTAGCCAATTTATTACAACACTGGTTTACCATAATCAATAGCGTTCACACTGCACTGCTTAAAAGCCTTTTGGAAAAAGAATTGGAAAACACCATACATATTCATACACATCCTACTCATGTCAAACGCATATACTGGTTACCAGTGCACATCTACAGTACGTGTATTAATGTTACTGTACCATTAAAACAAACTAACAAAAACAAACCCCAAACGGATCCTGAGGCAGTCAGGTAGGATGCAGTCATTGATTCATTAATTTTTTTAATTGAATGATCTTTGTTGTGATCACTGTAACCTAACACAACACATTTTGGTCATTTCAAATTAACATACTTAATTATGCACAAAGGTCACATTGATTTTTACAGGTTAATTATACTTTTGTTTGGTAATAGTGCAATTATATGGTAAAAATTGGTGTCTGTATAAAAAAAGGCTGAGCATGACCTTAAAATGAATATAAGCAGTCACATTCTTTAACTTCCTAAGTCTAAGGTTTTTAAAATGTAGCACAAAAAAAAATATTGTTAATGAGTTACACAAAAGTCGTACATTTCTATTGTCAAAATGTACACAGTGGTTTCAAACAGTGTACTTGGAAACTAACTGATCCAGGGATGTGTCTATATGTAAGGTTTCCTTTCACATGTTAAGGATTTGAAACTGCAGCTATTATGACGTGTCACTTACAGGCTAAAAGGAGCTCACTGGGCTCATTTAGAGTATGCACTTGTAACTTTGCAAAAGTCTTTTCTGTGTTTGTTAACATACAAACCTAAGCCATATTTCAGAGTTTATTAACCCTCCTTAAAGAAACTCTGTAAAGTAGTACCTGCCTTGAGGAGACCTCAGGTCAGCTGGAAGCAACATTATACAACAGGATCAACGAGCTTCTGCCAGTGTGACAGGTTAACTGTGACAGGAAGCTGAACGGAGTAGTTTTCAGTGGATGCTGGAAATGGTACAGACAGTCCTAGAAAGAGCAGTTTGGGTCAAAAATTGTATGTAATTGTAGTCATGCTAGTGATGTGACTGTGTATCAGAATATTGATGATCTCTCACTTCAGTTCAGACTGAAATCTTTAATCAGTGACTCCATTGGCATTTTTAGTCATATCATAAAATACTGGCTACAGGTGTACACCTCAGTGGTTTCTGAGGTTTTTGACTATGCTAGCATGATTAACAGTTGCCTAGTGGTCTTTGCATCACATTGCACAGCAATATTAGCACTTTAGGAATATAACCAGAATTCAACCAGCTAGCAGCCAGTTGAATTGAGTCCCCTCAAGTTGTGCTCATTGACTGATGGCAACATGTTTATGAATTAGACAGTAATTTTTTCCAAACCTCCAACAATGTCTCTGAGAGTGTTTGCAATCAGCCCAAGTCAGGCTTTGCAGAAAGATTGCATCTGGTGATGCCTTGCAATGAAAGGTAGTTATGAATGTGCAACAATCTCGAGCTCTGAGGTGTAAAGATATCCCAAACATTTTGCTATTAGCTTATTGGGAATCACCTCATTAGTGATTATCTCGAATAATATCTTGTAATGTTATGTTGACTCAACTAAAGATGGTAACAGGCTGCCAGTAACAAAGTGCCTGAGATACAGTTATTTGCAGGTAGGAACACTGGTTTGAGTGGTGAGTCAAGGATGCCACTGAGGTGAAAAAGTAACAACCTAAATACTTTAAATATACTGTAAGATCTTTTACATCTTACAATGCTGTGATTGCAACCATTCCCCAACTCTCGGTTAAAAGTGCTAATGGCCACTGATCAATTTACATATTAATGATCATGAAACTGACCCCGCAGCCCATTGTTAGTTGGTCATAATGCAAATGTACTGTTTATAATGTTGTGGAAACCTGCTGAGACTGAAGAAGTCACTTGGATAAGTGACAAAACTTTTCTCACACGTCCAGATGAACCAAATCAACATCTGTGGAACTGAAATGAGTGAAAAAGAAAAACTTTGAAAGGGCTTCAGAAAGTTTGGCTCCTTGGAAGGGAAATCTAAAGAGTGTTTTGTCAGACAATAACACCGTGACACAGTGTGGAGTGGGAGATTTTACAGTGGAAACTAATGCACTGGTCTGTGGTGGAGTGACTGTGACACAGTGTCTGCTCATCTTCCACTTTCTTGTCACTTATTAGCCAACATGTACACAGCTAGCAGTTTGTCTTTAATCATCTAATTCCACAATATTCCACAATTAAGCAAACACCACATGATTACTTGCACACAATATATTGTAAATTTAATTCTTGCCTTTGAATTTGACCCCAAAAGAAGAAAACAGAATCCTGTGTTCCAAATCTGTAGTCACTAAATACAATATACCATACAAAACCTACAAAATGCAACAATTACAAACATTTTGTTCAACGCTGAACAATTGTACAGTATAAATTTATACAATACTGTTTTTTTTATTTTATTTGGCACTTGACCACAAGATGCTTTCTTTACGTTTTAACAGAAACGATCCACATGACAGCGTTTTTCTTAAAAAAAAAAAAAAAAAATCATAAAAAAATAATAAATGTGACACATTACGACAGTATCATTGCAGTAGTTGTGATTCTGTTTGTTGCTCTGCATCTTTTTTCTCTTTACATAAAAAAACCAAACAGCAGTTATTATACTGAACATTCAAAGCTTTTTCTAATTGGAACATGTTGCAGTTACTGAAACGGCTCGGCTGGGGCCTGGAGGAGGGCGGGGTTACATTCAGGGGTGGAGAAGTTTGGTTTTTCTCTTTTCAGGTTTTCTTTGAAAGCAGAGTGAAGAATAGAGAGACAAAGGAGAGGAGCACGGATTGAAATTATGATATTTATCCTGCGTGTGAGACTGTGAGGCCGCTGCTCACGGTGTGTCACGTGGCGCCGTGTTGGAGACACGATTGGATGGTGATTTAATGATGGAGCTCTCAGCTCTGATAGCTTAGTGCTTGTTTACAGTTGCCTCACTGATGTTGTGCAGGGAAGTCAACCTAAAGAGCTTCTTCTGTAAACCTACAGACGCGTCAGCTTTGTCGATCCACACTCGGTCAATAACACTGACGACACAGAAGCGAGCACAGGGCTGAATAGCGCTACCGTCTTGTTTGATATCCATAAACACACACTAAGAACACACACATGCGTGTAAGTCACATGCATATGTGCTATGTTAGTCTACCCCCCCCGTACCCGACAACTGGTTCAACATGCTGCCTTTAAAAACATCAAAAGTGAAGAAAAAGCGGTTTTGTTCTTCACGCAATTAAAAGAAAAAAAGGTTTGCATGCTCGATATCTCGCCACAGCTTAAATAAACGAAGATTTAAAAAAAAAAATTATTATTATATTTCACGACGTTTGTTCATTGAGCACTGAGCGCTCTGGACTACATGGGTTTGCTATACAAATGTAGAGATGCACTTTAAAATATCTACACGGTACTCAAATACTTGTTAAGACTACTTTTCTATGTCTGCCTTAAGCTAGCGCGCGGTGACGGCCTCGGCGTTGCCGCTGCGAAACACAGACAACGGAGCAGAGGGACGCTTTCTATCCATCAGCGAGACCTCACAAAATGAAAACTACTGATCAGGGTGCTTATGCATAGTAGCGTAATATCACATGTTCTTGTTGGCCCAGCACAAAATATGAAACAAAGTCTATCAAGTCTGCAAAAAAAGAAAAAAAAATACACAAACACACGTACACATTCTCACAGTAGAAAAGAGGAAAGCGGTACTCGTTCCGAGTGAAGGACAAACTTCACAGGTCTTCTCTGCAGATAAAAATGATCTTGCCTACAGTACTAAACACCATCATCTCTCTCGTGGTCTTGTGCACACTCTGTCTATTATACATGTTAGAGTGATGGAGGCTCTGTGCGGCCCTGGCCGGAGCCTGGGGGGGTTACAGAGAGTCAAGCAAAGACACTGATACAGAGACTCCAGTTTATACTGCGTATGTACAACCTACTGTAAACCTTCTTTAAACTTGGAAATGCCTATAGGAG